CCTTAAAAATGCTACAAAAATATGTATCTGTACCTGTAGGTGCACACATATAAAATTAAAAATTTAAAACAATTATTTATATGTAAGTGTTTAAAATAAAATACATTTTGTGAAAGGATCACAGAGAGGTTTGGCAGGAGCCTCCGAGACAGAAACCTCAAGACAGGGGCTTGGAGTAGGATGAATCAACAGTTCTTGGAGAAAAAAAAATATCTTTTATGTCTTTATAGTCTCATCCTTGAACCATGTTCATCTTTTACATGTTCAAAAACAAATTTAAGGGGTTTTAAAATAAAACATTAAAATAACATATGCTCTGAGACCAGTATTTCTAATCTTGTACCAAATTGACAGCATTAACCACACAGAGAAAATAATTATTTAACTTGAACACAAGTAGCTGTATACACATGAAAGAAAGACAAAACTGCAAGGCTCAAAAGCACTACAAAGACAGCTTCCTACCTGCCGAGCAGGCTGGTAGCAGGACAGGGCTGTAATTCTGGGAGTATTTTGTGCGGATGATTAGGATGGAACGAATGAGCAGAAATCTTCCTATGAGAGACAAGCAGGTTTCCATCCATGTCAGAGGAGGCAAGACAGAAACATGGACGGGGAGGCTTTGGAGAACCTCAGAGGACTGGCTTTGCCGTTTACAGAGACACACTGAAAGAGACCAGGAGCGGTGACAGTGAGGAGCCATGAGCATGTACTCTGTCCACATCTTGATTTCTAAAACTCCTCCTCCAGCAAAAGCAGACGGAAAAGAGAAAGAAGCCCAGGAGCCTGAGGAAACAGGTGATTCTGGATGAAGGCACGGGGACCCAGCAGCACTGTGTGTGTCAGGAGTCTGGGAGGTACTCTAACACAGCAGGGTCATGTCTCCGGGGCCCACTTTTCACAAAATGTGTTACACTGGCCCAACTTGAGCATCAAAGAGAATTAAAATGCATTCAAGTCCATAGTAACATTGCTCAGCAAACAAAAGGAGAAGGAGGGAAGAATTAAAAGCCCCCTTCCCCCAAAGAATGACAGCTGTTAAATGCAGAATAGGTACAGGATTGGACACACCAAAATTTTTGTAACTACCAATGGCAACAGACGATTCAGGCATGTTTATGAACGGATGTGAAAACAGTGCGTGAGGAAATGTTAGGGGTCAGGCTATGTTCATATGGTCTCAAGCCCTCAGGTCATTTGCTAATGATAAAGGGAAACCTTGTAATCTGTATGGTGCACGGAGGGAGCCATGGCTTCCTTTGGCGAACCATCAAAAGAAGCGGCACCCACAGGGAGACTGGTTAGGGTGAGGTAAGCGCCTCCCAACATAGCAGGGCACAGATGCACAGCACTGCCTCTGTGGCATTCTTAACAAAGATTTCAGTCTGAATCTACCCAGGGGCAAAAAACCAGACAAATCCAGAAAATGGGACGTTATACAATTTTTGGCTTAGGTAGTTCAATATTGAAAACACTGTGGGGAGGAAAAGACAAACTGCTTGATACTGAAAGGAGCTAAAAAGAAGACGAAATCAAACCCAAAGCCTTCCTGGTATTTACTGAATGTGTGTATGTGTATCTTTTTAATAACATTCATTTACTTATTTATTTGGTGTGTGTGCACACATGCGTGCCCGCGGGATGGAATTCGGCCCATCAGGTTTGGGGGCAAATGCCCTTATCCACTGAGCCATCTTGCTGGCCTCAAACTCATGATCCTCTTGCCTCAGGCTCCAGAGTGCTGGGATTACAGGTGTACCTACCACACCTGGGCCAAAATATGTTTATTTTTCAACAACAGGAGAAAATCAAATTTAGACTGAATAATACATGATGTAGTTGAATTATATTAATCTTCTCAGAAGTGGCCATGGTACTGAGATTATGTCAGAGTTATATGGGGACACATTTAGGGGTGAAATTTCATGATATCTACGCTTATGGGACATCTGCCCCTCCCCAACTCACACTTTAGCAACGACAACAAAGATTGTGTATAGAGAGAAAGCAAAAACAAAAAGAGGTGAAATTGTGTAGAACAGATCTAGGCATAAGGAGTGCATTTTTGTCTCTTTGGTTGTGAGCTTAAGCCTTTAAGGGGCGTATTTTTGTTTGCAGCTTTTCTACTTTTCTGTGGATTTGAAGATTTTCACATAGAAAGAGGACAAGAGAGAAGTTAGGAAACCATCACAGGCCCACAGTGGCCGTCCCAGTCAGTCTGACTGGTTATCACTCCGAGTATAGCCCAGGAAATGTGCAGGGCAAGAGGCAGGGGTGGGGGGATATAGATCCTGCTACAGAAATTCAATAAGCACGAATAGGGCAAGTTCAACTGGGACCCCAAGGCCCTGCCCTCCAGCATCTGTCCCCACATGCAAGGCTTTTCTACTCTGAGGCTCCAAGGCAGTGTGTGAAAGAAACCTTAAACAGCACCAAAATCTGGTAACACAAAGAAGGTTCATTAAACGAACTAACCTGGCTGATAGGCCTGTCAAAGGGAAGACTGTCCCCACATGCAAGGCTTTTCTACTCTGAGGCTCCAAGGCAGTGTGTGAACGAAACCTTATACAGCACCGAAATCTGGTAACACAAAGAAGGTGCTTAAGAACTTCCTTCATTAAACGAACTAACCTGGCTGATAGGCCTGTCAAAGGGAAGACTGTGGAAAAAACGAACTATCTTTCTGTTGAAACCCAGTTTTCTCAGTTCTAACTTCCTTCTCTCCCCAGCCCCGTCCCTGCCTCCCTCACCTTCTACCTTCTTCCCCAGTCCCTCCATCCCTCCCCCTCTCCATCCCTCTCCCCAGTCCCTCCATTTCTCCTTCCTCTCTCTCCCCAGTCCCTCCGTCCCTCCCTTCCTCCCATACCTCTTCACTGTCTTTGGTATTGTTCTTGAAGGTTTATCATTGAGCTGCTCCTACAGCCTTTCTCCTGAATTGTGGAAATTACCTCCTCCAGTCTTGATGCCTCAACAAATCCAGAATTTTCACACATTTGTCTTCTTTCTGTATCCTTCCAGCCCCACCCCAGCAGGTATTCCCAGGGAGGCCGAGCCTCGAGAGCTCCCATCTCCACAGACCCTCCTCCTGCCCCTGAGAATGACTGTTTCAACACACACACACACACACACACACACACACACACACACGTTTATTAGTCCTCACCCCTGGCCTCAGGGGCTAGAGAATGGTTTGGCAGTTAAGAGCACTGGCTACTAATGCAGGGGACTCAGGTTCGATTTCCAGCACCCACATGGTGGCTTACAACCGTATGTAACTCCAGTTCCAGGGGAATCCAACACCTTTTTCTGACCTCTGTGGGCACTGCACATTATGGGTGCGCTTACACCACATACAGGCAATATACTCATACACTAAAATATTTTTTAAAAAGAAAAAACATCTCTCACTGAACCTGAAGCTTGCTGATTCAGGTAGGCTGGTTGGCCAGCAAGTCCCAGGAATTCTCCTGTTTCTGCCTCCCCAGAGCACGCCTACAGGCGCATGCCTGGCTTTTATGTGGGTGATGGGACCCAATCTCAGCTCCTCACAGCTGCCAGCAAGAACTTTACCTACTGAGCGATCTCCCAAGCACTTTTTTCTTTAAGCTCTTCCCACTAGCTGCATTGCAGGCCATACGTTTCTGTGGATTTAAGTTTGTAATCTCCTTGAGGGCAGGCTTTCTTTTCATCTCAGCAGGTGGCACAGTGCCTAGAACAGAGTGTGAGCTTGTGTCTGGGTTGAATGAGCAGATGAATGAGTGAGTCGATGAGGGGATGAAGAATGAAGAGGCCTGAGGCCAGAAGACAGGTGCTGGGCGGTAAAAGAGGAAAGGCAAGCCTCCTCTGTCTACAGGGGTCACAGGTGATGGCCCCTTGAGAGCGGCGAGGCAGAAAGGGCAGATGGTGGCGGGGTGCAAGTGGAAGGTAACAAGGCGCTCACACAGGCAGGAGCTCCAGTGAGGAAGGGCACAGGTGGACTGTTTGGCCAGAGGGGGCTGTGTGGGGAGAGCAGATGGTTCACCCGAGGGGTGGAGGGGAGAGGTTCAAGAGAACACCTTTCAAGTCCCCCAGGGCCACAGGACCTTGGCTTAAGTCAATGATTCTGAACAGTGAGAGATTTTATCTCAAAATGTAAGGTGGGCACTGAGTGTGGTGGTGCCCACCTTTAATCGCCACACTCAAGAGACAGAAGCAGGTGAATCTCTGTAAGACTGAGGCCAGCCGGGTCTATACAGTGAGTTCTAGGCCGCCTAGGACTACAGAGAGACCCTGCCTCAAAAAAAACAAAAATAAAAAACAAACGAACAGTGGAAAGCAGTCGATGAAGAGACCTAACATCAACTCCTGGCATCTGCAGGCACACATACAAGTGCACACACACAAGAAAGAAAAGAATAGAGAAAGCAGGCCAGGCTTGAGGATAGACTATCTAAAATAAAACGGTGACACTGAAGCAGATGTAGGGGAAATGCAGGGTGAGGCTTGCGACTCTGAGAAAAGGGCATCTCCACGTTAAAAAAGAGCAATGAGCACAAAGGTCCTGGGCAAGCTGACCTGAGGGGCCATCTCCATGAGGAAAAGCAGAGAAACTGGATACCAACAGGTGAGCTGGGTAACCTGGGGTAGACTGTGTGTCCTCCCATGCCAGTTGTGTAAGAGCTGAGGGCTTCACTCTGAGTGTGGTTCTGAACAGCGTCTCACACAAGGTGTGCGAAGATAAGTCTGAGCCCCTGTGACTGCATACTGTACCCTGTGACCACCACTCTGATAACTCTGGTCCACTGCTCCAAAGAAAGGGAAGGGTAGGAGGAGAAAGCCATGCAGTGGGTGCTTTTTAGTCCCCCAGAGAAAGCTGACTGACAGCAATGGAGTGGAATCACTGAGGCAGGGTGTGTGTGTGTGTGTGTGTGTGTGTGTGTGTGTGTGTGTCTGAGGCAGGGTGTGTGTGTGTGTGTGTGTGTGTGTGTGATACCTCACTGACAGGTCTGCAGCAGCCTTACCTCGAGGGTCTTTTCTTCCTCAAGATGGTTTCTAAACAGAGAAAGCAGAGCATTAGCAAGGATGGTCTTGGACTCCTGGTACCCAGCTGGCAGACATGAGAGGTCAAAACCAGCTGAAGCAGGGGAAGCTCTGGGGTGGGTTACTCACTGGGAAGTGGTTAGGGAAGTCTTAGTGCTGCTGGAGCTTGCCTATCCAGGCCTGTCCCTGAGCCTCTTGGCTGGCACACAGGCATTCCTCAGCAATCCCTCCCCCACCTGTGGCCCCTGTGCCCTCTACTTACAGCCTAGATCTCCCAAAGGGGTTAGAGTCCTCCAGAGATCAGGGGCCAGGGACTGTGCGATGCAGAGATCGCTTCTTTCCCCCTTATTGATATGGACACAAAATCAAGGCTAAGCCAAGGCCCATGACTAGTCATGCCCATTTCTGGAGCCCCCTCAAGGTCCGTACCACCCTTTCCCACATACATTGTGTTTGAATATCCTAGGAACCCCACAGAAAATAGCATCGCCATTGCCTAGGGGGGTCTAGTACAGCGGAAGCAGTTGGTGGGTGTACCTCCAGAGAAAGAGGTTCAAGCAAGCGCTGCGTTTTGTTTGAAGAGCTCAGAGACCAGCTGTTTGGAGCTTGTAAGGAGCCCCCCTCCTGTGCCCCACCTCCAACTGCCACACAGGTTACGTGAGCCCAGCCATGTCTGGATCATGTGAGGCTGCTCTGCCCTGCTCTGGGTAGGACCTACCCTTGACCACCGAAGCACAGGACCCCCACAGGGCCTCCTGGGATTGATTTTATCTGATGACATCAATGGCATAAGAAAACAAAAGTTCTTTTTTAAAAAATTCTTTTATTTCTTTTTATTTTATGTGTATGTGTGTTTTTTTTCCTGTGTGTATTTACATGCACTCATGTCATACAATGCCTGCAGAGGACAGGAGAGGGTGTCAGTTCTCTCTGGAACTGGAGTTGCCAACTTGTCAGTGTGTCACTACCTTGTAGGTGCTAGAAACTGAACCCGGGTCCTCTGGAAAAGCAGTGTTCTTAACCCTGGAGCCATCGCTCCAATCCAAGTGATTCCTTTTTTGAAGCAATTTCAGATCACACTGTTCTCCAGGAAGCCAGGTCTCAGGAATAACAAGAGTAACTGAATAAAGCAGGCTCTGTGCTCCTGGGTTTGCTCTATCCCTGGCCACTGTTAGAGACTCCCTCAGTGCCTCACCCTGGATGGCTTCACAGGACACCATCTGCTATAGGTCTAGAACATCCTCCAAAGGCCAGTGCTTTAAAGACTTATTCCACAGCCCACAGCACTATTAGGGGTGGTGGAACCTTTAAGAAGATCTCCTCGTGGAAGATCTTAAGTCTTGAAGGCATGTCCCTTAAGGGGAATTATGGGACCCCAGTCTCTCCTCTCTGAGAAGAACCAACTCCCACACACCCTCACCATGGCATATTATATCATCACAAGCCTCAAAGCAACAAGGGCCATAGAGCAGGGGATAAAATTCTAAAACCATGAGCCAAAAATCCTTTTCTTCTTGTTAAGTTGATTGCCTCAGATTGTTTGTCATAGTAACAGAGCACTAGCATGCAGTCCTTTCTTCAGCAGGACAGAGTGGAATCTGTGTGCCATGGGTCTCTTACCATTGACTCCCTGAGGTGTGCTCTTCATATCTGAAGAGTCGTTATCGGACAAGTGTTTCCGGATCATGCAGATCTTGAGAGCCAGGAAGCCTGCAGATATGGCTATGCCCAACACAGCCCCAATGATGGCGTATTTGAAATCTGAACCACAGGAAAGAATTGAACTCAAGATTCAGTTGCCCCCCCCCCAACCCTCAAGGGCCTGCTCTGGCTCTAGTGAAATTCAGAGTCCCGTGCCTGGACCTTGACATACCACATGTCAGCCTGCATTGCAATCTCTTTTTCTACTTTCCATTCCTTGACCTTCTCCTGTCCCTGAGTCTCATCTCTGGTCCCTCTGGCTATTCCTATCTTCAAGGATCACTCAAGCTCAGCACCTGGCAGGACCTGGCTGCCCTGGGTCAGTGGTGGGCAGCTTGCTCCTCTGGCCCCTGTAGCCCAGTCTCACTTATCCTTCAACTAGTTCATTGACTCATCTATGTGACACTTGCCTGCTATGTTCTGACATTGAAAACTAGTGAGGAGGAGCCTCTCTTGTCTTTGAAGTCTGCAAATTGCCCATAGTAATTCCAAACAGCAGGGTAGGTGGGCTGGGCTGAAATGGTGAGGGAGTTCTAGGGTCCAGAGCCTTCTCAAAAGAAGTAATGTGGAGGTGACTCCTTGTTAACAAGGCAAGCCCTCAAGGTGGAAAGGAACAGGCACAGAATAGGGGGACAGATGAGTGGGCAAGGACCACAGAAATGGCAGAGCCTGCTATCTTGGGCCCACAGTGACAGGATGGGACGCAGTGACTGGAGGGTGCTAGGGCTGCTGACTGGGAACAGAGAACACACAAGGGTGGTTTGATGGCATAAAGTTATACTAGCCACTAAGTGGGCCTGTGGTGAGATGGCCCTTGTTCTGTATGCTGGACAGCAAGAACTCATAGCACATACCTGCATTCCACCCCCATCCCCTGTTCTTTGGAGGGTCTCCCTGCCTCAACTCAGCACACAGAACAAGCTGGGAGGCACCTACCGATTTCAGCCCCGGCAGACTTACTGGTCGCCAGCACTTGAGCTCCTCCAACATCTGTGAAGAAAGAATCCAAGATCCTGGTTAGAAATCTAGAGCTAGGGCCAGAAAGATATCTCAGTGGATTAAGTGCTTGCTGTGCAAGCATGAGGACTTGAGTTCAAATCCCCAGCACCCATGTAAAAGAACAGTGTGGTCACACATGTGCCTGTAACACCAGCACTATGAGGGGGAGAGCAGGAGCATCACCTGGGCTTGCTGAACTCCAGTTGAACTCCAGGTTCGGTGAAAGACCCTGTCTCAAAGGAGTAAGACAGAGAGTGATAGAGCAGAGAACTCAATCTCTTCTTCTGGCCCTTCACATGTGCATCCCTGGATGTGAGTGAGCATCTATACACGTGCACTTACAACACACACACACATACACACACGATAAACCAAAAAAGCCAACTCACAAGCAGTCTGGTGGTCCCTGACAGACAGGCAAGGTAAGACTGTGGGCCTTAGAGAGGAAGGTGGGTTGCAGGTGGTGACTTGTTTTGAGAGAGATACTGGGTGCAGTCTGAGCATTTGTTCACATATTTAATATAGCAATAGCTCTGTCACATGGGACCTATTATCACCATTTGATAAATGAGGAACCAGAGACACTATGGATTTAGTGATCTTCCCAAGGACTAAGCAAAGTAGAAAATGGCAAGGCTGCCCTTGCAGCCCAGGAAGCCATTTGCCATATCCAACAGGCTAACAATATAATATAATAATCCCCTTATCTGTAGGAAGCACGTCCCAAGGCTGCCAGTGGATATCTAAAGCCAGAGTCCCAAGTCCCACATGCACTGTTCTTTCTTATACATATATACCTATGTACAGTAGGAGATTAACAACCATGGTTAATAATAGTAAAGTAGAATGATCAGAACAATATATCTCAAAAAGTTATTTAGAATTTACAAACTGTTTATTTCTGGAATTTTCCCTTTTACAGTTTTTGGATCATGATAGACTACAAATGTCTGAAGCTCCAGGGAGCAAAACTACCAATACCAGGGGCATCACTCTTAAATCATCTGAGTCAATGGCAGAGAGGGCCCAACCTCACTCTCAAGTTTAGCTTCTAGACAAAGGCTGGAGAAAGAGCCTCCAGCTGGTCTCCCATGGAGGGAGCAGGTGGCCAGACTGTGAAGCCCAGTCCTTTCCAGCTGAGGAGCTCCCAGAAGTCTGCCTCCTCAACCCTGATGTCCTATGGGATGAGAGGCACAGAAGCCCTGCTCACCCAAGCAGAAAAGATCTTTTCCATTCAACCACAACCACTGATCATCCCCAGTGACATTCAGCACGATGTGTTAGGTTGGAAATGCACAGAAGACAACTGTGCACTTTGTTCAGTGGGAAAGGGGGGGGGTCACCATAATAGTTCAGGATTCTTAAAAAAGATTTGTTTTATTTTTGATTATGCATCTGTGAGTATGTGCATGTGTGAGAGCAGGTACTTGTGGAGTCCATAAGAGGGCACTAATTCCCCTGGAACTGGAGGGACAGAGGGTTGTGAGATGCCTGACATAGGTACTAGGAACTGAATTCAGGTCTTCTAAAAGACCATCAAGTGCTTTTAACCACTGAACCATCTCTCCAGGCTCCAGTTCAGGATTTTTGTGGTGACTCACTTGGGGGGCGAATGAAACCTGGGGATTCTGTAGCAAAAGCTCACAATCTTGCTCTAACCACAGTTCCTTACAGAAAAAGCACAGACTTCTCTTTCCTATGGGAGTCAAAGGTACATACACATACTTACAAACACAGGCACACACCACTGCACACAATGACCTTGATTTTCTGTAACCACGGGAGAAGCCCTCAATAAGCTCCATTACATTAACATTTCATTAAATTAACCCTGCTGCCCCAACTAGGTTGAACCAGTTCTGGGCTCGGGTAAGGCCTAGTACTAGACTGAATGGTTATGAATGAGAAGAGGATTTGGGTCTGACACCAAGTATCAGTGCCACCGTATTGCATCTTCACCAGACCCTTTGCTTATACAGCTGTCTTTTTCTGCTTTTACTGTGCAGAAGGCAGGGGCTGGGGAGGTTATCCTCCAGTGAAACCAGGTCCCTAGGGATGAACTTGTCCCTACCCCTTCATGCATTAACTTCCTGGTTCCCACCTCCAGGGTCTTCCCCTTGGTGATTCTGGCTCTCAGTGGGAACATTTGTCATCAACATTTTGTACCAGCTTGAGATGAAACAGATAAAGAAATAAGGGCAAAGTGTGAGGAAGTGAGTAAGCCACACGCAGAATCGGATAGACGAAACCACAGCCCGGATGCTGGGCTCAGATGGCCCAGATGCTGCACCTGGATGGCCCAAACCATCGAGAAGGGTAGAAAACGAAAAGACAGAATTCTGTTCTAGTACTAGAGCCCTGACCCTATCCTGGCCTCTTCCACAGCAGCCAGGTCCTGCTCTCCCCAGCTCCCTTCCTCATCAGCACCACTACCCAGGTTCATATTGTCCTGAGCACAGGGTTCTTTCTGCCAGGTCCCAAGGCAGGAATCCATGGCTAGGACTTCAGTTCAACCCCCTACATGTCTCTTAGACACCACCCTCACTATGCTGCAGTCTGTGTCCTCTCCAGTCTTTGAGGCTTTCCACTAATCCTTGGCCTTCCAAGCTGGGGCTGTCCTGCCTTCCATCTGCCTTAGGGATAAACCCAGTCATTGGATCAAGCTGTGCACTGGAGCAGATGTCTTAGCAATTCCTGCTAGCCAGCCTGATGGCCACTCGGCGGCAGCCTTTCCCCTCCTCAGGGAGGAGAATCCCTGCCTGCAGCTGTTGCCTGAGCATACTCTGCAGCTCTCTCTCTCTGGTTTTGTTGTTGGCTTGTCATCTGTGATTCATACTCTCTCTCTCTCTCTCTCTCTCTCTCTCTCTCTCTCTCTCTCTCGTAGCTCTAACCCTGCACTCTAATGAGCCCCTTGGTGAAGATCTTTTCACATGTGACCTACCTCCTGCTAGGGTCATGAGCTAAGGGAGTCCCTCCTGGGCTATAGACCCTCTGCAAGCTCCCAGCTCTGCAAAGTAGCTGGAGGATGGATGGTCCTAACGGCTTGTCTGCCAGCACAGTCACAGGCTACAGGATGCCTGCACTGGGAACTGAGAGACCCCAGGAGGAAGCTGGAGCAAAGCCAGCAGGAGTTTTTACACGGATGTTCTGCAGGGGGACTGGGTGTGGAGAGCACAACATCCAAAGGATGGACTATCAGACCTAAGAGACATTCCAAAGGGTCTGAGCCTGAATGGATGGAACAAGACTGCTGTCTCTGACAGACATGTGTTATCTGCTATCACCACTCCAAGAGCCTGGTTGACCCCTCTCCATGACTGTCCCTGATGAGCTGAGTGCAGGCGTGGAGCACAGCCTCTGCTGCTATCTCTAGATGGGCCTGTTAAGATCCTGGAGATTTGGGGAAGTTTCTACAGAAGTAGCCCACGCAACCTCCAAGCGTGGTTAGTAGGCACCTTGTAAACACAAGAGCTTTCAGGGGAACCTGTACCAAAGCACTCCATGGACTCTCTACCCCTATTTGGACCTGATATTCTGCCCTCCCTTGTCAAAGTTGCTTCAGACAAACTTGATGAGAGTATGAGCACAGCGGTCCTTCCTTGCAGCCCCTCCAACCTGGGATCTACTCTGCCCGGGGCTTCCAGTTCTGCAGGAGTAACAGCTCTTGGGGTATGAGGTGTAGGTACCGTAGTGGTAGAGCACTTGTCTAGCATGTGTGAGGGCCAGTGTGTATCTCCAGCACTGACAAAGGGAGGGGAAAAGAGTAAATGGCTCCAGGAAGCAGCTCAGCCTTTCCTCCAGCGGAAGAGGGCAGGGCTGCCTCAAGAGAGATGAGAAGAGCCAGCCAAAGGCACAGCTTGGACTCCGCTGGAATCTGACGCTGTAAAAGCCCATCCCTGGCATCCAGGCCTCTCTGTGCTGATCACCTGTTGGGTCCACCCTCACTGGGGGCTGATATTCCTGGCCACCTTATTTGGGCAGAATCAGGGTGTGTGACTCCCAGTTGTGGGTTAGTCGGCATGTGAGCACTCAGATGTCATTCTATAAGTATCTGAACTAAAAATAGGGGAGGCTGGCCTGAGTGTTGGTCAATTGATGCCTGGCCACATTCATCTTGGTGCTTAAACATTGGGGGGAGGTGGCTCCTAACTTTAGATCTCAAGAATTCCAACATTCTAAGCTAGAGGAAAGAGGAGTCAAATGTCTGGACCAGCATCCACCCTGTCCTCATAGTCCACACATAAACAAGGAACCTGCAGGGTGCTCCAAGGAGCACTGATGTCCTGCGCAGATCAAGGGGCAATCAAGAGCTGTAGTAAACCCATGTCTCCTAGGGAGGAGTTCACAGAATGACCAAGGAGACCAGAGTACCATAGGCAGCATTCAGTACCTCCCTGCTTAAGGGAGGTCCCCATAACTGAAGGGAGTCTGAACCGGGGTGCTGATGTGAGTATCTGCCACCAGCCTTGCCCCTAAGCAGCTAATGACATTTTGCTGTTCCTCTGGGGAAACATCTCCAGATGATCCTTAAGTAGGGCTCCAGGATGGCCTTGTGGCTCATACTGATCATCGACTTAGGTGACGGTCTTGACACGGCACCATGACAAGTCAGGCTGCCAAGCTGGGGCAAAAATGGAGAACACTGGATGGAATAAGAAGCTACATAGCACAGCTTCAGAGCGATAAGGTTGTTCAAGCAGAGAGCCCGTACACCTCCGGCCTTTGCATGTGCTGCTCTCTTTGATACAGAGTCTTTCCCTGACCCCAGGGAAATCTCTTTGTCATCCTCTAAGAGGTAGCACAAAAGCCAGCTCCAGAAGCCTTCTAGAGGTCTCCTATTAGTCCAGGTTCACCTCTGCTGCCTCCTTAGACTTCTCACCTTGCACTGTACTCTGTGGCATGAAGGGAACCAATGATAAAAGGTAAACTGTTCCCCCAGGGCCAGGATGATACCTGAGACCCCTTAGAAATACAATTTTCATCCTGATTGA